CAGCATTTTATGACTGGAGAGACACTACATAATTCATGTCGCTGGAAGTCATAGATGGAGATAGATTCACTGGGAGATAATACCACTAGGAAAGTGGTTGGCATAGGTATGATTGGAAACCTAAATAATTTTTTCATAGATAATATTTTACTTTTAGAAGGCTTAAAGTATAATTTAATTAAGTATAAGCAGACTATGTGTACAAAGGGTATAAGTGTTAAATAATTTTCCCACTAGTTGGGCATATTAAGCCTAAAAAAATGATGGTTTTGTTCAATAGAACAGGGTAAACAATATTATATGCTACGACTTCTGACAGTTAAATATTAAATGCCTAATGCTTTTTTATTTAAAAACCATTTTTTTATGAAAATTAGTTATGCCATAGGAGACCTTTATCAACGCTAGCATGAAAAAACTTAGGAAAATTATCCAAAGGAACTATTAGAGGTAAAACCCAAAACGTAGAACTTTACTAAAAGGATCACTTGGTGATGCTACCCGTACTCGTCATCTAGGTAAATATTGTGAAGTCTTTATTTCATTCCAAATAAAGGATCTTAGAAACTAGCAAACCATTAGAAATAAATTCATAGGATCTTTTTGAAAATGGTTATATAATAAGTCTAAGAGGGGAGCGTATACCAGATTTGTTTGTTTAGTTATGCAATTTTTTCGAGATTCATGTGGGGTTCAAATTATTTCATTTAAGAGTGAAACTCATTTGAGGGAATTTAGAAGGACTTTTTCTGACTTAGATTCAAAAGGGAAATATTTAGTTATGAATTTAATAATTTCAAAGATCGATCATGGAGGTGAATTTAAGAAAATAAAAAATTTGATGACGCTTTTTTAAAGAAAATATGAATTGATCAATAATTTTTATGCACCTAGAACCCCTCCAGCATAAATGGGATTGTCCGAAAAGAAGAATAGAACCATATTAAATTGGAAGTTGTTAAAGCCATGTTGGTAGCAATATTCACTCCATAAAATAGTTTTGGGTGAAGTGGTTAGTCTATATGTTATATTCTGAATAGGGTAAATATAAACCAGGTCAAAATTGAAATAAAACACCCTATAAGGTTCTTAAGGGGAAAACACATAACTTGTCACATTTACATGTTTTTTTGATGTAAGCGTTGTAATATAATGAAAAAATTTTTTTTAGAACAAATTTGATCTAAAATTAGATAAAAGAATTTTTCTTGTATATCTATAGTATTACGAAAAATCATTTAGAATATTTAACAAAAAGAACTTAGTAGTTAAGGAATGATCAACACATATTGTATTTGGAATAAATCTGAGATTTTAAAAGTCCAAGTTTGGAAGAAGGAATGATTTAGAATACTCACAATTGAAATTGAGAAGATTAATTTGGATTAAAATTTGGAACAAGAAAACCCGTTATCTAGAGATTTGAATTTTCTAAAAATCTATCCTAAGGAATTGATTCTAGGTGAACTGAGTAAGTGTGTTAGACTAGGTAGGACTTAGGCAAAAAAGTTAATTCCTTCTACCTTTATCTTAAATAAATAGAATCCTACAATATAAAAGCAAGCAACTTTCGGAATAATTTTAGATTTATCTACTTCCATGCAAATAAGAACATCTAAATCATTTATAAGGAATACATATTTAGAAATTGGATTGTATTGGCTAAAGGATTAAAAGTATATGGTTGGAACTAAATGGATATTGTAAAATAAAATGAATGACTTAGAAAGTTGTTAATTTTGAATAAGGCTAGATTGGTTGTTAAGGGGGTATAATCCATCAATTAAAGGGAATGATTTTAAGGAGAACTTTTTCCCTTGTATGCTAGACTTGCACAAGCAATTAGGATTTTGGTTTATGCCTTGCTTGCTTAGGAGGATTTAAATTATTTAAATAAACAAGTGACTTTTTGAATAAGGGTGATTCAAAGATGATGCTTTATGTTTGAACAACCTTCAGGTTTATGAAAACTTCTAAACATTCCTAATCATGCTGTATAAAATTAATAAAAGGGGTATTGTATGAATTGAAACAGACACTCTAGGGCTTGGTATGAAAGGTTAAGTTATTTTTTTATTAGCAGAGATCTTTTGTAAAAGGAAGTGTGAACACTCACTCTCTTTTGAGAAAATCTAGGATTCGTATACTTCATTGTTCAAATTTTATATTTGATAATATCATTTTTTGAATCTACAAATAACACCAAAAAATACTTTGTGATGATTTTTCTAAAATATCATGAGTAGTGAAACTTTGAAGATGAGCTTGATGGAAGATTTAAGTTATTTTCTAGTTTTAGCATTAACGTAAATTAAGGTATAGAATATTCTTAACAGTCAAAGTAATCCTACAGGAACATACCTTAAAAAAGTATGAAATGGACAATATTAACTATTAAGTATACCCTATGAGTTCCTTAGTTTAGTTGGATAAGGACTAAGGAAAATCTGTTGATCAAAAATTTAGGAGAAATCATTGGATCTTTGCTTTATTTGATAGCTTAGCATATCATAATTCATGTTTAGTATTCTTATTTGTGTGCTAGATTTCAATTAATTCAAAAGATCATATTTGACAGCAATAAACCAAGATTTTAAGATTATCTTTTGGGCTGTAGAACTTAGGTTGCGTAATCCTAAGTCACTCTTCAATTTAAAATTATTGGATATTCAGATTCAAACTCCATAGATTATATGATTTATCGAAGAGTACATTTGGAAACTTATCATT